ACACACACACACACACACACACACACACACACACACACACACACACAGAGGAGTGGTCGCTGCACTCAGTTTTAAAGTCATTTTTTGAAAATGTGACACCTATTTTACAAAGTGATTAATGGCACAAACATGAAACCGTGGTAATTGGATACAGGGTGAGTAACCTGGACACTGTGTGTATCATCTAGTGATAATTAAATGTCTTAGTCATGATTTTGGTCTTCAGCTGTAGTGGTTCCCATTCTTTTTAGCTAAAGGCCTTTAAACAAAGCGATATCTGCCTGCAACATGTATGTGTTGTACATGTATTTGTATGTGTCAATGAATTTGAAGTGTTTAACCTCTGACCAATATAGAATCTTCTCCGATTGAAGAGACAACAAGCAAAAGTGTTAATAGTGTCGATGTAGTTTTGCGTAGCAGCATGACTCAGGGGTCAGCAGTGCCAGTCTGATGGTCAACGATTGCACAGATTACCATGAATAGTTCTTCAAATGTTCTGAGGAGGATGATTTCTGCTAACTTTAATGATCACTGTACCTTCCCTGTAGTGCCACCAGCATATTGTTGGATTTAATCTAAATGTCTTTACAACTAGTAGATGAATTTCCATTAAATTTGGTATGTGTCCTCCTCAGAATGAAATGTAATGATTTTGTTTATCCTCTTACTTTTCATCTAGAGCTACCATCTGGCCAACATTTGCAATACTTTGTTTAATGACCGAATACCTACAGAACTACTGGCAGCTGCTCCTGAACTTTGTGGCTAATTATAATTAGCGAATGCTGGCATGCTAACACACTAAACTAAGGTGGTGAACAGGGTAAACATTATACTTGCTAAACATCCACATGTTAGCATGCTGACATTAGCATTTTCCTCAAAGCATAACTGTGCATAACTACAGCCTCACAGAGCTGCTAACATACCAGTACTGTTGTTTTTCTCTTATTCCATAAATCATTTTGTGACCCATAAAATTTTTCTTCTGTTATGAGACCCTGAGGTTGCTTTCCAAAGTGCCTGATTTCTGTTTTTTTTCCCATATAGAGATTGAGTCATAGTATATTTTGCCAATATTTGTGTTTGTGTCACATCTGTTTGTGCACACTTGGGCGCTGTAGCCATGCTGATTCGCTCTCTAAGATTCAGACACACTAAGTAGCACATCACTCACGCCAATGCTGATTGAAGATGCTTAACTATTTACAGTGATAATGGTCTGTGGGTTTGTGGTTGCTACGACAAACATTTTTTTAAGAGTAACTTCACACCGTGCTGACAGATAGTGTGTCACTGCTCTCTCTGATTGAACGTGTGGTCAGGAAGTGTGAGCTTTCCCACACAGCAACCACTCCCAGCAGTGATATCGTAGTGCAGCGACACGGCCTGAAGTGCACCATCGCTGCACCGAGATGAAGCCTCCAACCCCTGGAAGTCAACGAAAACAAGACTTTAAGCTGCTGATAAGTTGCTCTTTAATTAGAGCTAAATTAGGTGAGGGTAAGTGTGTTGTTGTTGATAACGGTGCTTGTTTGTGTGTCCGTGCGTCGCAGGGAGGGAACTGTACCATAGAGGGGAAGGATGATGGGGAGGACTTCAGGCGTTTGCTGAGTGCCATGGACATCCTGTGTTTTACCCCAGAGGAGCAAAACAGCATCTACAGACTTCTGTCCTCCGTCCTTCATCTGGGGAACGTCTACTTCCAGCCACACCAGGTCTCTCTCGCTCTCTCTTTAAAACAAATTAAATCGCATTTAGTTTCACGGCTGAATGATAATGATGATGGTGATAGATGATGGTAATAATAGGTGCGTATGCCTCCGTACGTGTGTGTGTGTGTGTGTGTGTGTGTGNGTGTGTGTGTGTGTGTGTGTGTGTGTCTGTGCATGTGTCCCGGCAGGCTGAGGGTCAGGAGGTCGCGGCGGTGGTGAGCGCACAAGAGATCAGGGTGGTGGCCGAGCTGCTGCAGGTCTCACCGGAGAGCCTGCAGAAGTCTGTGACCTTCAAACTGACAGTGAGCAGAATACGCTTTGAAAAGCAACCTCACCCATGACATTAATATAATTATTTTTACACTGTTCTCATAGCAGTAAACAGATGTTGTTAGATATCTGATGTATTTGACCCCCAGGATACAGTGCGGGAGAAGATCTACACTCCGTTGACAGTGGAGAGTGCTGTGGATGCCAGGTGAGTGAGTGGGGAAAAAAAAGTCTCAATATAGTATCTGTTAAATTAAATACGATGCACCGAGTTCGGCTTGGAACAACCTGAAATAAAAGCCTGTCTGACAGTCTTGTTTGAGGCCCTTTAATGTCCTCGTTTTTTTTTGTTTTGTTTTGTTTTGTTTTGTTTTTTTTTACCCCTTCTCTAAAATCACACCAGAGGACTACTGAAAGGGAGCGTAGAGTCTTTGATATTCCCTTCCAATCTTTGGTAGAGGCATGTGAGGACAAAGGACGTCAGGGCTGGGGGAGAGATTTTTCAGATGTCCTCTGTTTCCATAGGAACCGGGTTTTCTGTTTCCATAGAAACCTTATTGTGTGTTTTTCATAGAGATGCCGTTGCCAAGATCCTGTATTCGCTGCTGTTTAGTTGGCTGACAGAGCGCATCAACGGACGGGTCTACCCTCGCAACGAAGCCCTGTCCATCTCCATATTGGACATATATGGATTTGAGGTCACGCTAAAGAACAATCTCACTCAGTTGTGTTCCAGCGATGATGTGTCTGAGCTGACTTGAGTCAACTAACCAACACTACCCCTTTCAATGTCTCTTCTCTTTACCCTCCAGGAGCTACAGGTGAACAGTTTTGAGCAGCTGTGCATCAACTACGCCAATGAAACTTTGCAGTTCTTCTTTAACAGAGTCATCTTCCAGGAGGAGCAGGTCAGGGAAAGAAAACATGTTTTCTTTTAGACCATGTAAATTAGAAAGTTTCTTGGAGAAATTGGGTTTCTGTAATCAGGATACTGGATTAGAAAGAACTGCTTTCCCAAATTTCTCCAGGAGAATTCTGATTCGATTTCTTGCTCATGTGTGTGCATGATCAGATTTCTGTTCAGTTTCTGAATGTAAACGTGCACGACAAACAGGAAAAGCGACAGCTGAGTGGTGAGACGAAACATCCTTACATCTAGTAATGAGTCCTTACATGAGAAATCGCTTTATTCCAAAGACTGACTAAAGCTGAAAAACAAAACCTCTTAAAGTATAAATGAGTCCGTTTCCACACATCCACAGATGACTGTTGGTAAAAATTCATTAGTGGTGGAAGTGAGGAAACGCTGCATGTTCTCACTACAGAGACTCTTACAACGCCACTACAAAGACTCACAAGCACAAAACATACTCAGAAAGCAGCTTCATATAAAATATTTACACTGTTGGTACAAAGTAAGGTCAAGATAGGGAAGAAAACTGATTACTGGCATGCTGCAGGTTCAGTAAACACAGATTTGTTGTAACTGGAGGCATGTAAACATGAGTAAGTTCTTACAGTAAATGTACTAAATGAAATGCTGCTGGAACAACAGTTAAAGTGCCTCTCCTTAAAACCCTCTCTGTGTATGAAAGCCGCATATTTAGAAGCTTTTTCAATGAAAATCATCCCTTCCTGCCTTAACATGGCTTAGATTTAACTCTACAACATTGCTTACTTTAGAATATGCAGATCATGGAAGTCTCTTTCCTCTGTTTCCAACGCTCACTGAAACTCCCAAAAACTCACTTACGACTCTGCTCAAACACTGTAGAACTCCTCTGCAATTCAGTCAAACATGTTTTTACCCAAAATTGATTCTGAAGAATAATGATATAGAAAGTCCCACTCTGCAAATTGACAGGATTTGATACTTCGTTTTGTGAACGTATGAAACCTCAGAAGTCTGAATACATGTCCATCCATCCATCCATCCATCCATCCAATATACTGTATATAGACCACTTAATCCTCACTAGGGTTGCCGGAGAGGGAGTCTATCCCAGCTGACTTAGGGTGAAGGCAGGGGACACCCTGGACAGGTCACCAGTCTATCACAGGGCTACACTTTGAGACAGGCAACCAAGCACACTCACATTCACACCTACGGACAATTTAGAATCACCAATTAACCTCAGCATGTTTTTGGACTTGTGGGAGAAATGGGGGGACATGTAAACTCCACGCAGAAAGATCCCGGTGTCTTCACCTGGATGCGAACCGGCGACCTTCTAGCTGCGATGCAACCACTGAGGCATCTTGCAGCCCTGAATCCATGTCTTCCAATTAAAAAAAATATATAAAAAATTTGACAAGATAAAAAACTAGATTTTCATCAAAGAGGTCTTTAAATGTAAATGTCAGATGGGTCACCAAGTTAATTAGTGACACCATGGCTGAGCATCTCAAAACTGCAGTCCACCAATAACATTCTTTACAGTTTTCCAGGGTTTCACACAAAACAAAACTAAAGAACCGGCCTCGCCTATCGTTTTTTGTCTTAGGAGTTAGTTTCCACTTTGCACATGAATGGCTGAAAATACTAAACTTACCATTGTGCAGTGTAAAGTACTTTTACAGTGTTTAAACAGACTTGTAGGTGAGCTGGCGTGCTTGACCTGCATTGTGCGGTGGAGAGGATCATAGACCTCATAGATCTGCACATTCTAGTGCAAGCAACAGTGTAGGGTTGTAGTCATTTTAAGGCAGGAAGGATTTTAACTTAATTTATTTTATTTTAATATAAAACAAACATCTTAATGTGTAACTTTGATACACAGAAATTAGATTTTAGGGGTTTCATCAATGGCCAGAGGGGGACCACTCAGCTTTGTTTGTAACCTGATGCTTATTTATTTTCAGAAACGGTTCCATAATTGAGGTTATTAAATCGTTCACAGGCCACAGCAACACTTAGAGCTGAAGTGAAAACTAGAAACAACCAGCAGTGAGTTATAAGAGTTTTCTATACACCAACCTGGTGAACTTTACAGTTGTTATGTGCTGTGTAGGAGGAGTACATGCGGGAGCAGATTGAGTGGCAGCAGCAGCCCTTCAGCCACAACCAGGCATGTCTTGACCTCATTGCTGCTAAGCCTCACGGGATCCTGCGCATACTAGATGACCAGTGCGGTTTCCCTCAGGTACACTCACCCCTGCAAAACCCAACTCTTCATTTCCAAAGTCATGGGAAATCACTACATCTTAGTAATAACCACAGATATTATGGATGTGAGCAAACCTAAAATAACATAAATGAATACAAGCAGTGTTTAATTAAAGCAAAACGAGTTAATAATTCACGATTCCATCCAAAGACTTTCTGTAAGTTCACAAAGAGCCAATCAGCTGAGACAAACTCCTGTGGAGAGCAAGTGTACTTCAAATGAAGTTAGATGAGATTACAAGAAACTTTTGAAATCCTACATTCTTTAGAGGCACTGTGAAGAAAAGGCAAACGGATGACAATAACTCATAATTCAGATGCCTCATGCTTCACTTTTCAGAAGAAATTGAGTTAAAAAAAAGAAGATCTCACTATTGGATTTCTCATTAAACAGGAGACTGTATTGTAGCCAGCCTCGATCAATACAAACCTATCCCACACGCTCACTTAATTACCTACCTGCTGCTATCATTACTCCCTGGGCTCCTATGGGTAAGAAGTTGACGGAGCTCATATTGAGATAAACGTATTATGAAGTCTCAGAGTGAAATACGAACGCAGTGTTAACACGAGGACCTCGCCGAGGCAATCTGTCGAACACGCGCAGGCAACGTGTGTTTGTGCTGTACAGGTTTGGTTGCCATGGCTCACCAGCCGCTAACCGTCTCCGATCATTGCTAGGCAACAGATCACACCTTCCTTCAGAAGTGCCACTATCACCATGGAAACAACCCGCTTTATGCCAGGCCAAAGATGCCACAGCCAGAGTTCACCCTGAAACACTACGCAGGGAAAGTCACCTATCAGGTACTTTTCTTTCTATGTCTTTTTTCCTTTTTCTTTGTTTCTTCTTCTTCCTTTATTCTGTTATCATGTTTATTTTGTTTCTCCTTGTTCTTTTCTTGCATTTCCTTTTCTTAATGTCTTTTCTGTCTCCCTGTTTTTCCTTCTTTCTTTGTTCGTGCTGGTGCTGCTTCTTTTTCTTTCATTTTCTTCGGTCTTGTTCTGTCTTTAATTGTTTCGATTTATGGGTGGACTGACTTGTTTTTCTTTTTCTAGCATTTTCTTACCTGCTTTTCTTTGTTTGCTCTCTTGCCTATTTGGTGTCTTTCTTTCTTTCTTTCTTTCTTTCTTTCTTTCTTTCTTTCTTTCTTTCTTTCTTTCTTTCTTTCTTTCTTTCTTTCTTTCTTTCTTTCTTTCTNTCTTTCTTTCTTTCTTTCTTTCTTTCTTTCTTTCTTTCTTTCTTTCTTTCTTTCTTTCTTTCTTTCTTTCTTTCTTTCTTTCTTTCTTTCCACTGATGTTACTAACAACAGTCAACATGCATGGCAACCAAGTGACGTATATATTTCTTACTCAACTGTCTTAAAGTATGTGTATGTGTCCATAATTGCATCCTTGTTGATCATTTTCTTCTTCTTGTCTGTGTGTGTTTTTCCCCACAAATCCTACCTTTACTGTGTCCATCCAAATCCTCACATTTGACAAGCTAAAAGCTGAAAATGTCAAAATCGTTTATGATTAATTGTCTTTCACCCGACTGACTGATTAGCAGCCCCTAAACGGATCAATAGTAATTAACCATCCATCCATTTTTTGAAGCTTGTCCAGGTTCAGGTTGCATGAATTCAATTATACCTGAAAGGAATTATTGCTTTTACTGCCTGGAGATGCTGAGAAAAAAAGTGATATCATAAAAAATAATTGTTGGTTATGTCATACTTTTTCATCACAAATTCACGCTTTGGCTGGTGCAGTTGGGTAAGAGGTATTAAACTGCATTTTATGTTGTATTAAAAGTTTAAAAAATCGTATCCAAACTCTCGAGCCCAGTCCACCTCTGATCTTTTTGAAACGAGTTCTAATTCAGAGAGGTATTTTATTACCATTACGTAACAATCTCTCAAACAAATCTGAACAATATTAAAAATAAGATCATAGGATCAAGTTCTGATTCAGAAAGGTGTTTTATTTCATTACATAACAATGTTCTGAACAAATCTGAATAAGATCAAATTCCTTCTTTTCTTAATATATGCTCTCTGTAACCTAACAGAGCTGTAGGACTTCTGTTTGAAACTGATATTACAGGTTTCTGATTTCAGTCTTGTTCTAATATTTTTCCCATGATTTGTGCTGTATGCAGGTGCACAAATTCTTGGACAAGAACTTCGACATGGTCCGCCAGGATGTTTTAGAGCTCTTCATCCAGAGCAAGAACAGAGTGAGACAGTCAAACACGCTCTTTTTTCTTATCACTTGCTCTGTGCTAATCTGTATTCCTTGTTATTTTCCTTCCACCCTCTAACAGAAAATCAGAACTATTTATTCAGGTGCTAAAGTGTCAGTGTTGAACATAAATATCTCCTGCAATTATCCTCCTCCTCTCATCTGATCGGATTCTGTGGGTTAGTTCTTCAGTTTTCCTTAACCTTTGGGTCTTCTGTGTTTACATGCTTTTCTGTGTGCCTGTGTTCCTGTGTGCACAGATGGTGTCGAGCCTCTTCTTGAAGCACTCCGAGTCTGTGTCTCAGCAGCGCTCTAACTTGCGGCACAGCAGCACGGCTCGACGTTATCAGGCCAACACGGTCAGCGCAAAGTTTCAGAACAGCCTGCAGGAGCTGCTCGAGAAGATGGAAAGGTTTTAGTAGCGCATCACTCATTTAACTTGTCAAAACTAGAAATATGTAGTCATGAATTTGATTTTTTTTTTAAAAATGCTTCCTATTTGCCACTGTATTATACTCCGTGTCGTATCGAAACACACAATCTAGTGCCGTCATAACTTCCCACATTAACTGCATGCCGTGCTCCTGAATTGTCAGACTTATGTGACAATGTGCCTGTCAGCGGTGACGCAAAACAATGATGAGTCATACTGTAAATGTCCAAAACTGACTGTGATGAGCTACTGCAAGAAACAGAGAGCGTGTATGATGTGGGGGAGAGAGAATGAGTGAAAGAACGAGCGAAATCAGAACTGTATAATGGCCTTGTTCCTACAGAGACGCAGTTCTGAACTGTTTGTTTGGCCTTGGTGTACCGTTAAACTCAAGTGATTAGTTCTGAGTGGCTTATGAGCCTCTATCACGTCTCTAATAGATGAAAACAAAAGTCTGTGAAATTGTTATTATGTGGCACCATCTATAGAACAAATGCTTCACCAGTTTCCTTTCAGCTGGAAAGAAGATTTCATTGCACAGGACAAATGTAATTCACCTTTATGTAACATACATTCATTTATTTATCCATCAATTCGTTGTCATGTGTCTGTGACAGGTGTAACCCTTATTTTGTGCGATGCATCAAGCCAAACCATCATAAGGTATATTTGCAATTTGGATGCCGTGTGCAGGTTTGCAGTGAGTTTTTATTATATCACATGTGCTATGCAGTTCATATGTTGTGTATGTTATGTTTGTGTGTCGGTGCAGGAGCCAGGAGTGTTTGACATGGAGCTGGTCAACACTCAGCTGCATTATTCTGGTATCATGGAGACCATTCACATCAGGAAGGACGGTTATCCAATCAGACTGCACTTTCACAGCTTCCTATCAAGGTTGGTCACTCACTAATCTTCACACAGAACGCGCTCTAACAGAAATATAAGCTCTAATCAAACCGTGGAAGCTAAAAAAATTTAGCACAGACTAGCCTCTTCAGCTTCCTTTCCGAAAAAGAATAGTTTCTGCTCCCCTCTCCGCTCGCTACTTTCAGCTTGTCAGAATTGCTGGAATTATGGGCTTTTTCTGGAGAGAATACATTTCACACACCAATTTCTTCGTGCTGAAATAGCCATCTGGCATTTGTCAGCTCCTGCAGCAGGAAAGCAACCGAGACCAATTGATCTCACAGCACCTCTCACCACTCACTGCCAAAGTAGTCTGACTTACAGTATTACAGGAAAAAAAAAAAAAACAAAGTCAGAGTCCAACATTCACAATTAGATCCACACTGAAAATACTAAATCCAAACAAATAATACGCAGCCATGACTGTGAATACCCAGAATGGCAATTAACCTCGCACAAGGGTTCTCAGATTTTCCTCCAGTGATAACTTAAGATTTACAAGATTTGAACTCACAGATGAGACACATGTTGCAGCTTTGGATTTCCCTGATCCTCGTTCACGTTTACTTGAGAATTCAAATCGAATTGTCATACGTGGGAACAGGTATAAAGCCCTGCTCTGCCTGAAGGATTCTCCGCCTGCAGATGGGGAGAATTGTGTCATCATGCTCCACAGACTCGGCCCAGTCAAGAACGGCTCGTATCAGCTGGGAGTCAGTAAGGTGAGCGCGCTGAGTAATCGACACACATGCAGAGGATGCACAGTCATATTGGTCATGTGTTAGAATTAGATGCTGCTTCATGTAGATTTTGTTTGTTTGTGTGTGTGTCTTTTAGATTTTCCTGAAGGAGGAATTGTACCAGCTGTTGGAGGGGAAGCGTGACAGCGTGCTGAACCTCGCCGCCAGCATACTGCAGACATACGTCCGCATGTGTTTCATCCGGCAGAACTTTAGGAAATTCAGACGCCGTGTAACCCTGTTTGAAGCTCGCTCCAGAGGCTACCTGGCCAGGTAATGTGTTTGTCAGAGTTTGGCAGGTAGCATTCATTTGATGACTCATAACTTCTTTAACCCTCTGAACCCCTGAGAAGCTTTTGCTCCTGTAACATTTTTACTGACTGTGGGCTCATTTTTCACTGCAATATAAAGTTCAGCACCTCTATGGAAGCAGCACAACCATGACTAGAAGTAGAGAGAAAATAAAAAATGCATTCTGTACAGTACAACAAAGTTATAAAGCCATAAGTAATAATAAATAAAAAATAAAAAAAACAATATCTGTGTTTATTTTACAAAAATAGCATTTAAAACATAACAACGGGGAAAGAGATGACGCTACATACCACAGATATTTTACAACTTGTGTTTACAATTTGTTTCCATCCTTGTCTCCTTCCTGCTCTGAGTATACACAGCCTGCAGTTCAGCTCAAATGTTTCCTGATTGTTGGTTCACAGTTTAGGGGACCGGTTGGTCACAGCTGAGGACATGACTTTTGTTGCACCAAGGAGCGCAGATTTTTTTAGCGTTTTTTTTACAGAATCTGTTCAGCACAAGCACTTTATTTTGCACAAAATTTTAATTGTGACATATAGAACAAAGTGACATTAATTAAATATTTCAATTTTAAGCTTAGATTTGGTTAATTTTCCCAACAAAACGGAAAGTCAGACATGATGTATCATTTTAGTGATTAAAAAATAAATCAATAAAATGTCTTCCTTTTGGTTCCAGAGACACATATAAAGTGGATTTTTTTGGGGGGGGAATAGATATGATTTTGTTCTCCTGTTCCAAAAAATCATCCTGCAGCACTCAGACTGAAAACCAGCAGTTCCATCAGTTTCTTCCTGGAGGCTGACTCTTCTGAGCCTTAGCTTTCTTTAATGGGCACCACACTGCCCTGCTAGAGTCTGGAGTTTCAGTCCTGAGCGTCGCAATTTAGGCTTTAGTGTTTGGTTTCACAGAGCCAAACAGGTCAAACCTTATCGCAGACAACCCGCTTCTTTGTCCTTGATGTGAAGAGACAAGGCCAGAGGATTGAGGCCATGTGCATCCATCAAAGGTGATAGATTTCTCATTCACTGCCAGTCCAACCAGGCCTGTAGATGTGACACAAATTTGCATTTTATTCAAGTGTGTAAAAATTCACTAAAAAAGAAAAAGCATTAAACTCAAGGTTAAGAATCTGTAGTGACATTTCAGAGATCGCTGGTCACACTCCGACAAACCTGGGTAAATGACCCATTAAGAAAAACGTGCTCCGAAACTATAACTAGCTCCGTAAGTGTGATTAACACAAATCTTCTGTCTGTTTAAGTTACAGTGATTGACGTTTTTCGTAAAGTGTGAGATTTTTAAAGAGAAGCTTGCCAACATTATTCATGGGGAATTTAGGTGTTTTTGTGTCTCTAAATGCACACAAGGTCTTAGTTTGTCACTGCTATCTGTCTGTATCTTTATAAATGGTCCATCCTTCATGCTTTTTGCACACAGGAAAAACTTTGCTATGAAGAGGAAGTACCTCATCAGGCTGCGCTCCACTGTGCTGCTCATTGTCAACCGCCAGCGTTACATGAGGGTATGCACACAGAGTTTGAGTGAACGGGCAAACTGCTGGAGACATTTACAAGTGTTTGTTTTAGAGAAAAAACATGAAAAATGAACAAATGTGTGAAGTGTGATACTGTTGTCTTTCTGTCAGACAGTGGTGGAGCCTGCAAGGAAGGCGGAGGAGGTGAGCGAAGGAGGAAATAGGGTGGAAGCTTTCTGAGGGAAAACATTATGAGCCGAAGATGAAGATGTAGCGCTAGTGTGTAAGCGTTTGTGTATCTGTGTGTCTGTGTGCAGGATCGCATCAATCGTGAAGTGGTGAACGTGACAACACTGCCCATCCCTGCTGAGCTGGCCGGCCTGCTACAGGCGGCTTCAGGTACGCACACACACACAAATACACACACGAATATATAGTATGTAGCACACACTGAGTCAGTCAGTGCTATAAATATACTTCCATCAAAAGATGTGTTCCATCTTTGCAGGTGGGCTCCACAATATTTACCGTCGTATTTCTGTGATGACACGTAGCCCGCTGTGTGTGTCTGCATGTGTGTGTGTGTGTGTGTCATACAGGTGGTGAAGAGCTGCATTCAGACTGCTTGGCGGTGGTTCAGGCTCCAAAGGTTCAGGTTGACCCTCAGCTGACTCTGCCTCTGGATATCAACAACTACCTCATGACACACTACATCCGGGCCATATTTAGGGTACAAACTCAAACACAGTGGTGTTCCCATCACTTCAGAGGACATTACGTTGACTTCCATTTATTTTCTGGACGGTTAACCCGAACCATAACCACCACTCACCTTAAACCGAGTCTTCAACTTAAGATGTGAGGATTTACACTGTGATCTGTTCTCAGACCGCATATGGAAACAAGCTGTCGGCTTTACTTGAAATCAGTTGCAAAATTGCCTGAAACTTAAAGAGCTGATCTCACTAAATGAATTCAAAGTAACTTCACATGACTTGGAGGCAGATACGTTCAGATGTACATATATTGGTTGACTCACATTGGCCCTGTGTGATTACTGACATTGATGGCTTGTGGCACATATTTTTGTGATTTTATGATTTATTTTTGTGTAAACCTTAAGTCAGTTGTTATTTGTATTTGTGTCTGTGAACTTAAATCGTGCTGTGTGTCTTGGAAGAGATTTATCAGTCTTATTAAAGAGAATATTAATCTCAGTGAGACTTTTCCTGGCTAAATAAGGTTAAATAAAAAATCTAAAATAAAATAAAGTGACTTGCATTTAACCCCCAGTGACGAGGCAGATTCCCATAATGTGACTGTGAAAGCAGACTTTTGTCCCCATAATATGCACAGCACAGTAAACGCTCACTGTGTGTAATCATTTATCAGCGCTGTATTTTTGTGTGTGTTGTAGGAGCCACTGTTTGGGATGCTGACTGCCCCGCTGGAGAATTCCTTGATTCGGCTGGATGAGGAGCTAAAACAAGGAGCCCTGAACGTTTTCATTCTGGTACACGTTGCATTCACATGTTGCTGGGAAAGTCCATCATCTACAGTTTAAATCAAAGTCCAACAGTACAAACAGTCAGATTTAATGTCAGGAAGCAAAAATCAGTGACATGTTCTGCAGTTTAAGGAGATTCAACAAACGTAAATTAAACACCTCAGCTATGTGTTTTGATTTTGCCATCACATTCACTTTGTTCAACCTCTTGACCAATCTTGTACATTCGTAGGATCAGAGTTTTACTTGTAAAGTTACAGCATGTCCTCTCAATAAACACCCGGTCTTTTGTTAGATTCTTAGGTTCATGGGTGATCCAGACTTGAACGGGGCTCAAGAGAACTTGTTTGGGAACTACATCATCCAGAGAGGACTCGCTAATCCCAGCCTCAGAGATGAGATCCTGGCTCAGGTGGCCAATCAGGTAAGAAACAGCTCGATTTTCTACTATTTCTACTTTTTAGGACGATTATGGCACATTAAGGGCTGCAAGGTGGC